ACACAGTTGAACCCTTCTGTGCCTTCCAGGAGCCTGAGAAGGCACACACATGTGCACACATAGGCACATACACACAGAGACACTCATGCATGTGTACACACACACACACACTCACACTCACACTTATGCTCAAAAGGGCAATTGAAGCACAAGAACCTGACCAGGAGGAAATGGGATATTGTTGACTGGTACAGCCCAGAGCACTGCTGATCAAACTAGCAAAAGCACAGGCTTCAGCAAATTTCAGATCATTTGAGTTCCTAGCTCACATCTTCTTCTATGAGATTAAATGAATGGCATTTGAAGACAAACTGAACTACCAGCTGGTTCCTCCATTAATGGAACTCATCAAGATTAAGACATTCTTGTATACCTGTGTGGTGACTGAATTCAGAGCCTTATGTATGCTAGGTAAATGCTCTCACTGAGTGAAATTCCAAGCTCATATTCTTAACTGATAAAGAACTGAGAACAAAATCATTGAATTTGCACATGTAGCAAACTAGAAAGGTCATATATGATTCAAAATTCAGAAGGCAAAAAATGTATACATACTTAAGGATTCATAGCAAGTTCAGTGGGATATAAAATACTAGACAATATTGATCAGCACATGTGTTCATGCACATGCACATACACCTCACAGCAACACACAAGTGCAGGGAATGAAGACAATAAATCTTAAGGTGGTTTGAAATTACAGTGCCAGAAAGTGGTTACTTGGAGCTGATAGGATGGATTTTATCTCAGGACAATTGTGGGAGTAAAGGAAGTGCTATAATGATTGTGGTGATGGTTACATGAGTTGTATACATGAGTCAGAACATGTTATACTAGTTTCCCAATATGTCCAATTGCATTAGACATTGCTGCCAATCATTGAAGACTGAAGTTCTAGGACCTATAATCCTTGAGCATGGATATGGTTGAAAGGGAACACAAGTTTAACACATTAAAAATGTACTGAAAAGCAATACAAAGTGACAGCCTAAAATAAATACTTTCTGTCTTCTTTCACAGAAATCCATTCTAGGAAGTAACTTCATCCCAATTCAGAAAACCACCTAGTGAGCAGATGATGAGTCTGAGAGACGGGTGGGGATGGTTAACACAGCACCCAGAGGTCCTTGCTAGACATGCTGTCTGGCATTCTTATGCCCCACAGTCATTGCTGAAGGCTCTTTTCTAACATGGAATAGTGCTGCACATAAAATAAAGACTACTAGTGAAATACCTCCAAATGTGTGATTTTCATTCAGGATTTAACATCCCAAAGAAGTGCTGCAAATACGTCACTGTTAAAGAATATTTACATCCTTTAGGGGGTGGGATCAGCACATAGGGCAACACTCAGGACATAGTTTTAAAATCATACACACGTCAGGAAAAAATAAAGAGCTACCCCTGGATCTACCATCTGGAGCTCCTCCTGCACCATGTGCTGGTGCCGCTAAGAGTCACACTTACATCACATGTAACGATGGCGAGGCAAGTACAACTCTGCGCAAAGATGAGCAGCTATCAAGTCAGTGTTTCATCTCACTATGAAATCCAAGCCAAACTACACTGCCCACTTATGAAGCTCGCAGGGGCCTCCTCCCTCACATGCAACAGTAGTCAATGACATGCTCTATACCTCTGACAAGTAGGCCACAAAGATTACGATAGACAACTGTCACCCACTCCTAACTTCTTGAATTTTATGATTTCAGAGGCGAGAACCGTGCCCTCCTGACAAGAGGATGACCCTAAGCCATGGATGGCAGGGACAGGCCATTATCCATCAACACTCAGTACACCATGATCACTGGAGGGAAGCCTAGATCCCCATGCACACAGATGACTCACAGACAAGCCAAATGTATCCCTGGGTTGGTCTACCAATGATGTTCTCACACAGAGAACATGAAATCTCCACCGGGAAGCTCTTTATACCCCAGACTTCCAGGAACCACAACAAAGAATCTACTAAAGATAAATAAACAAACAAATGAAGCAATATATCATCTAATTTGATCCAAAAGCAAGCTTTGAATTTGGCTTACAGATAATTGTGCCCCCCCCCCCCAAACCATCTCAAGTTCTACCTACTGCAGCTCAAACAGACACTGGCACATCCCAAGTCTATTCTCATGCACACAAGAGTACTCTACCTCCATGACTACAAACTTGTCAGTTATTTTGATCCCAGAGATGGAGAGTGCATAGCTTTTCTTCTTTCCTCTCCCGTTAGACCCCTACCATGTGGAGAGGATCTGAGCTGTCAACTCTTGACAATCAAGGAGCCCCCCATCTCCACTGATGCCATCATGAAAAGCCCTTTTCCTGGTCACCACACAGAGCTATCTTTAGTTTTTTACCAGGAACACTTTTCTCATTACGGACACTCACTTTCACCGATGTTTCCACTCAAAAGTCTGTCAAGGGCCTTGAACTAAAACACTGTTTTCACTGAGCACAGGCTTTCCCCTTCCTGGGCTTCATCTCCAGGGGAGGCAAAGCTCCTGCTGGGCAAGAGTGTGTGTTTTAGCCATAGCCAGGAGCCATGCCACTGGTCCATGCAGCTGCACTCCCCACCCCTGAGTTCCAGGCAATGACAATTTCATCTTTCATTGTTAGTCACATCTTGGCAGCATTGAGCAGACAGATGGGGAATGTGGGTGCTCAATTACCTTGGCTACCTGAGCAAACAGACTTGCTTTGCAGTGTTCCTATTATTTTCAGAAAAAAGCAACTCAAAAAAAAACACAAATAGCTTTTAAAAAGAATTAGACCCAGCCAGCTCAGAGAGATGACCACTCCCACCAATGAGGCTGGGAAATGCACCAAACCAAACTCACTGCAGAATCTGAGGTACTTCTTAACTTTCCACTGAGGGGAAAACTCTAGTTCAAGACCCTCAGTGTGGCCTTGAGGACCAAAGTCTGTTCTGCTTCAGCAAGCCTATGGGAGCAGTCAGTGAACATTCTTCTTGGCTAACACCGGAGGTTGTGAAAAAAACCACTTGTCTGGGATTCCACCTCAACCCATGTGATTTAAAGACCATGGAACATTGTCTGGAGGCCTGTCCCATATCAAGGGGTAATTAATTTATGTGAAACTCTGAGAAACAAATACATCCATGTGTCAATTATTCTTCATTCATTCTTGAGCAACAATCATGTGTCCTGGGGTTAAGTGTGGGTGACATAAGAAACAACACCGAACCACAGTCTCACTCTTAATTCTCTGCTGTGTTCATTCCACACAGGTAGGTGGATAACTTATGACAAAACAAGTTATTTCTACAACAAACTAATCTTCTCATGAGAAAGCATTCTTACCCTTGGTAATGGCACAGAAGCAGTGAAGGAAAAGACTGTTATGAAATAGGATCCACCAGAGATCAGCTGTTCTTTGAGCAGCGCAGACATCACATCGTGTTCTTATCCAGTCAACATACACATCCATACTTCTCCAGGACAGTGTTCCACAAACAGTGCTACATAGAACATTGGTCCCCTGAGATAATCTCTGAAAACAGTTTTGTGTCTAAATATGATTTGTAAATCCAGAAAAATTCAGCCCGTTGATGTAGACTCAGAATGCATCCGTCAAGGCTCTGGGAAGTTCTGCTGTGAAGATGGTTGACTTTAAGGTTAATTCAGCATTCCCTATGTTCATCTGATCACCTTTTTACCTCTTTAACAGAAGGCCTTGCTTACTTCAGTAGCGAAAGGCCTCCACAGTCCAGCCTGGGCTCACCTCTGTAACTCACAATGATCTATGGAGCACCATGAAGCTAAAACCTTTGCCTTTGTTCATAATGGCTTTATCAATACAACATACACACAAACACTAACATATCCCCCCCCTGCGTCCCCCCCACACACCCCCTGACAGACAACAGAAATTACTTTCTATGTCCCTCAAACTGCATTTCTAGAAAACCAGTGACTTAGCCATAAAGGTGTCTCAGTTGTAAAGTACAAGATATGGTTTTGGATTCCCGGTGACTACATAAAAACTTGGAAACTGCAAGTCATGCCCATGATCCAAGCACTGAGAAGGTAGAGAGGAAGATCCTTGGGGTAAGAGAGACCAAACAATCCATAATTCAGGTTCAATGAAAAATGTCTCTAAAAATAAGGTGGAGATTAACTGAGGGGGACACCCACTGTCAACCTTTGGTCTTTGCCTACACGTGGACACATATGAATATACATGCACACATGCACATAAACACATGCAAGAAAATCGATAATCTACATCTTATTCACCTGCCTACACTTGGCATTTTGTATCAATGGGATTTTAAAATATATAGCTTTTGGGGTCTAGTCTTTCAGTTTCTGTGTTTCCAAGGCTCATAAGTATTAGTAGTATGCACATCAGCTCTTTGTTCCTTTTTATGACCAAGTAACATTCCAGTATATGGATAGTCTTCATTTTGCTTACTCCCTGATGACACAGATCCACACCTACTATAAAAAAAAAAAAAAAACTCTAGTGGGAGAAGGAGGGAGGGAGAGAGGAACAGTTGCTCAGACACCCAATCAGAAGTCCCCTTCCAGTCTAAAAACAGAAAAGCACTGAATCCAGCTGCTCACATGCCATTCTGTTTTCCACCCGCAATGCTTGCTACCTCAAGAAGTCATCAAGGAGTCCTTGTTTCTTCAAGTGTCTTTTGGGAGGGATGCGGAGTGGGCTTCACTAAATGAACAGAAATGCCATGAAATGGTTCTCTTATAGCAGCAAGGGAGGAGGAAAGAAAGCCAAGCAGCAGCCAATGCAGGGGATTATTTCATTGCTCAAACCTGAAATAAATCTAAGCAAGCCCTGTTCCAGGTACACACAGCCAAGAGAAAGAATGGAAGGACCAGAAATGTGGGTGGCTTTGTTTCCAAGAGGCTTCCCGGGTCCTAGTCTCACCATCTTTTGAGTAACTGCAGTCAAGCAAAGTAGGCACTCCCCCCTTCGTGCCCCTCTCAGGGAACCACTGAGCTGAGGGTATCTCTCACCTGGCCATCTGCTTGTAGGCTTCTTCTGCCACAGCAAAGATGTGAGGGTCCATGTCACCCATATTTTGGCCACTGTAGGCATAGATGACATCTTGTCCATAGATTGGCAGCTGCTCATATGGATTGATGGCAACAAGCACAATTCCTGTGAACAGACAGGACATCAGCCTAAAGCATGGTTCTTGTGTGGAGGCGAGGGGGGTGTGTAACCAGTCAACTACAGAAAGAACTATCCGTGAGCTGCAATGGAGGTCCTTGTGGTGAAAAGAATGAAGAGGGCATAAGCCTCAGGCTGTCCCACAGGAACACACAGCCACACTAACACTCACAAGCACCCAACAGCTGAGTTCATGACATAGATGCAAAGTATTGCAGGGACAGAGAGGAGAGGACCTTTCACCTAAAACTCCACCTGAGAATTAAGTCCAGAAAAGACATTGTCCCCTCATTTGTACATGAGCTATTTAAACAAAAAATATAAACTTGAGGACAGCATGATTTACCTGCCATAAAGTCTAATATTGATGTAATCAGTGTCTGTGAACACCAGGTTCTTATTTAGCCTCTGCTATAAAGTGGGCAACATACACATGGACTATCCTCAAGGAAGCACAGCCATTGGACAGAAGAAAGCCTACAGCAGTGCCCTGCATCCGAGTCTCTGTGTTTTCTCTCTACTGGATCATACCCACATCCCTGCACCCAAACATGCTGACCTGGTAAGGAGAGAATCCTGCTAAGGTTTTAAACCTCTTTTGTGGATAGGTGAGGCAAATTGATCACAAAATGCACAAAGAAGAAAAGCAAATTCCGTCTTCAAGACATGATAGCAATATGCCTTTTTGTTCTCTCCCATGAAGTTGCATTGCATATATCCAAAGACCCATGGACTAAATACAAAACTGGAAAATTTCCAGTCATCTGGGAAAGATGAGGGCCTGCCATGATGAGAAGTTTTCCTGTGTTGTGTTCCCTCCTAGTGGTCCAGTGGGAAGAGAAACACATGTATGTCCCCTTCAACAGGAATTGGAAAACAAACAAACAGAATGAAACAGTACAATAGGGATCAAAGCCCTGAGAAATCCCACTGAGGCTTATCATTTGGAGAACACTCTTAGGAGCAGCCATACACGTTCTTCCATTTTTCAGAGGGTTCAGTTTAACTCACATGACCACTCAGATGAAATTTTAATCTCATGAGGTCACCTATTTTCCCAAAACACTGTGGGCTCCTCCAGAGAGGAATGCTTCCACATTACTGCATTCTGGGTGGCACTGGGTTCTCTTGAGAGCCAATGGAACATTGGATCAGCTGAGGGACCTCTGGTCTGTACAGACATGGAGTTGACTCCAGGGGGAATTCCCTGAGACTGGAAAGCCGATGGTCATTTAGCTCTTTCCCCTAAAGGGGAGCTTTGCAACAGCTTCATATTGGAATTTTTTTCTTGAGTTTCTGATAATTGATATTTCTCCTAAATTAACATTTACTACCAGTTGGAGGTAAAGGAGATTTTGTTAACCATTCCTTCTCAGTACTAAAACCTAGCAAAGCAGCTCACCCAGGCTAAGTAATCAACCCCCAAGGCCAAGAGGAATATGAAAGTGGAATAGCCCCTGGACACCTGAGCTGTCATAGCAGTAACAATGAGGCCAAGATCTTCAGGACAGCAACTTGAACATCCCACCCACAGTCTGGTTCCCTATCAGGCCCTCATTATTTCCAGACAACTGCTGGAAGATTCTATTCTCAACATACTACAAAACAATACTCAAGGGCAGAGGGGACTGGGGGAGGGATGAGGAATGGTGTGAGGAAGAGGAGGGAGAGAATAGATCAAAATTAGGGTTATACACATAAGAAATTTCAGGACTTTATGTTCTAAGCATTTGTTACTGATTTTGCACATTACCTGAACAACATCTCCAAGCACTACATTTTCACCTGGGCAGTGAGAACACCAGTGGGGAAAGCAGAAGAAGGAAACAAAATCCATGTTGTACACATGTTCCAGAGTCAGGGTACCACAAGGGACTTGCTCTTCTACAAGTAACTACAATCAAGAGCCTAGACAAACTTTCCCAGAAGCTGTGGCCACTTCTCTGGCAGAGAATCCCCCTAACCATAACCCTCAATGGGTCTCATATGAAAGGTTCATATGCATGAGAGCAGAGTCATGGTTCTTAATGTTTTAATATCCTAAGTGCTGGCTAAAGATGACAATCCCCCTCAGCAGGTGCCCCCACTTACCACAGTAAGTGTAGATGTGGTTGGACTCCAGGAAACGGACTTTTTAAGTTATGCAGAACTGCAGGCTCATGGAGATGGCTGAGTGCAGTGAGGTCATTTTCTCCTACTAAGATGTCTGGATTCCGTAAGAATGGCAGATGGTTATTTTGAACATCAATTGGGTATTCCAGGATCTATCGACAAGCAAGCAGCAGACACAGAAGAGCAGTTATGAAGCATTTGGCTTATATTTGGTGTCCCACCACTATCCTAACAAAATCATAAGACATACAATAAGCAATGTTCAAAAGAAGACAAGATGAATGAAATACCTACGATTCCCATAAGACACCAGGCCACGTGGAACTTTGATTACATAATCCCAGCACATCAAACACAAAAGACTAACGCAAGAACTGAGGCACAAGCAGACTGAAGGGTGGGGATTCAGCCGCTTGAGAAAGATGACAGTGAACTTTACATTTCAGTTAATATGGGAGGGCTCTCTCTTCCCAACTCACAAACCTTCCTAGACTGGTTTTCTTTACTAGCTCTGTCTCTATTTTCTTTTTAATCATTTTTCCCATACAATATATTTTTATCATATTTTTGCCCTTCCAACTCCCCATAACCTTCTCACCTCCCTACCCATCCAACTTCATCATGTTCTCTCTCTCATTGTCTCAGAAACAAAAAAAGCAAACCAAACACTCAAAACAAATCAAGAAAAAAACCCCATCAAGGTTAAAAAATGTCTCCTCAAAACAAACTCCCCCCAAAAAAAAACCAAACCATGGAATCCATTTTGTATTGGCCAACTACTAGTAAGCATGGAATGTGGCTGATAGGCATAGTGACATTCCACTGAAGAAAACTGAGTTTCCCTTTATGTGTGGGTATCAGTTTTAAGCAGCTCTTTGGTTAGGGGCTGGCCCTGTGTCCAGTGTCTACTTTCCTTTTAGTGCTTGGACCTACTGCACATGTCTCCTTACTAGCTCTGTCTGGCTGCCCATATGCTCACTTCTCATTTGGACTATCTTGCCATTAATGTTTTGCCCTGTGTAAGCAGACTCAAGCCTCAAGCCCAACCATTTGCATGTGCACTGCTTGCTCCACGGCCTATCTGTAAGTTCTTCCAGGACAATAAATTGTCCTTGGACATAACTTCATTAGGAACTCCAGTTCTGTGTAATTTGGGTGTGGTACAGTTTATCCAAAGGTCATCTCTCAGGACATCACCTTGGTTGTTTTGCTTGACTCAGCATTTGAATTGAGAGCTCAAAAAATATTTGACAGAACACATGGATGTATATATGTAATTTACTAAAAGCAGTTTAAAGGTGGGATATGTGGACATTTAAACAAGATAAGCGTGGCTATTGCTACCTTTTTAAGTGTTACATTTCTTACACGGCTCTTCAGAACTAGCCGGGAAGCTTGAAAACCTGTTTTCTGAGCATGCTTTTGTTTTGGAAATTCTAAAGCACGGCCTATAAGTTGGAAAACTTTAAATTCAACTAACTTTGATATACATGCCTTGTATGTTACATAAGAATCACTAATGTCAGAGCCACATCTATTAAGTCTCTCCAACATGCTGTCAAACATGAGCTACACAAGAATGACACCAATGGACCTGCCAAATGGATGGGGGAAATAATACCAGGCCTCAACCCTGCACAAACACCTATAGGCACCTACAGAATGCTGAGTTGGAGAGCAAGTGTCTTCCCTAAGGAAGAGCACACAGATGCTTCCCTAAGGAAGAGCACTATCCAGTACCAAGTAGTCAGCCCTAAAAATATGCAGAGTAATAGTGTATAGACAAAGCAGACTATTTTTAGGAATATGTATGTATATACATAAACACATTCAGCAACCATTAATGAAAAAAAAAAGACCATGAATTTCAAAGAGAGTGAGGAGGAGCATATGGGAAGGTTTGGAGGGAGGAAAAGGAAGTGATATAATTATATCATAATACAAAAAATAAAAAACATATTTTTAAAAGGAGGCAACATGTGATTAAGAAACATCAGGAAAATGAAAAAAAAAAAAGCAATTTAAGTACATATATTCCATACACCAAACTTTCAGTCAAAAATTCACACTTGTTTGAATGTGTTCAGTGTGTACAGGTACTTCGAGTCTTTCTTTCCTGCTCTTTTTTTTTTTTTTTAAGACATTGTTTCATGGAGTCTAGGCTGACTTCAAACTCACTATGTACATGAGGGTTTAGCTGGAATGCGGCCAAGTAAAAGCACAGAAACAGGGAGTTTTCAGCCAGCAGAGGGCAGGAGTGGAGCAGTTTGCAAGGAGGTGGGAACAGGAGGTGGCACTTGACCTGTACTGAGCTCTGCTCTGGTCAAAGCATAGAGAGACTGCTCTCATCAACCCAAGGCTGGCATCCACCAAATGCCCAGCACAATCTAAAAAGCAGAGAACCAGACCAAGAATTAGCACACAAGTATACCATACTCATCTTGACTCTAGAGAGGAAAATAAGATAGATGACACTATTCTTTTCTCCAGAGATGTCACCATCTTCTGGCTGGCTGTCAAACAGAACATCTTACATTATGGAAAGTGACCTAAGCCAGAGGAAGACATGTGCACCCATGTGGTATGATGGTAGCTAGTGTGACCAGAGTCAATGACAGAAGGTGGCCCAGTGGCAGGCTGTAAAAAAAAAAAAAAAAAAAAACAGGAAAGGTGTTCAGGAAGGGGGTAGATCCAGTTTTGCCATATGGAAAAAGAGCATGGTAACCGTTGCAGTAGTGCAAACGCCACTGGATTGTTCACTTAGAAATGGACCACCTGGTTACATTTATATTCCACAGTTTACTAGAAGAAATACTAGAACAAATGCAAAAGTGGGAGGGGCATCTGAGGTGAATGGTGAGGAGCCTCATCACAGGAGGCCATTGGCAGTGAAGTAAGCAGTCCTGCTGTCAGCCTGGGGTTGGATTTCCTAGCAGATCTGGCCTACCTTCTTTGCATTTGCTTCTGCACTGAAACCAACCCCACTTTATTTTAGGGGCTGGGAGGCCATGAAGGTAGCACAGGATGGCTTCAGCTTCAGAGGAACTGCTCTGAAGCACTCAGCCTCCAGCCATGCAGTGCCTGTGTCCCTACCTCCAGTGGACAGTGCCCAGTCACTTTGGGGGCCAGCTTTGCGCCAGTCATAAGCCATGGGCAACAGAGACAGAGACTCATATGCTCAGAGCCCATGCTGATCTCCATCCCCAGGCTCTCTTCCAATTCCACAGTGACCAGTCTCATAGCTGGAGAGGAAGAGATGAGCCATGGGCAGCTGCCAGGATTTGTCATTCAGGGCCAAAGCTGTGTGCAGTCAGGGACACAAGCATCTGCTGTTTTAGCAACATGACAGATCAGCCCTCGCTGCCTCCACACAACTTTTAACAACATCCACCCACTTGAAAAGGCCTACTGAAATGAAATTTGTTGGAGTAGAAAGCACTCCATTCAAGCAGGTGAACTAAATCCATTCTGTTTCAGGTGCAGGGTGGGAAGTTATTCAACATGGTAAAAGAGTCCATCTGCTGACAATTTTGTTTCTTCCCTCAAAACCAAGAGATGACTATCAAAACCTGTCAACTGGTGGGGGGGTGAAGGGACATGCTAACTAACTCCAATTCACCTGCTCAATGCCATACTCAAAGTGACACACTCAAATTCATATAGAAGGAGTTGGTGGTTGGGGAATGTTCAATCAACAGGTTGCTCAACCAACCATTTGGAATGGGAAACAAAACAAAGTACACTGAAGAATGAACAACAGCAAGACAGTTAATAATTGACAGGCAAACTACACAATACAGACATTCCAGACCCTGGCGCTCAACACAAACCTTCAGTCCACTCTATCCTGCTCTGCAGCCCATCCATCTAGCTATCTGTCTGTCTGTCTGTCTCAAACCCAGTTCTGCATGTCATCCCACCACTTTGATTAAAACCAGCCTCCCTGTGTATACCTGGTGTAAAATGGCTGCCCATCACCTCAGCCTCAGGCCACCTGGGTCCCAGGTTCACTGGTCTACCTCCCTTACCTTGTGCATATGCACCACTGGGGGCTCAGGCATTGGGCACACTTAGCTCCTGCATGAACATTACCCACTGTTGGCCCAAGGCTCCCACCACCTATTCTGTTCCTGGGGATTGTTCCCTCCTGCTGTTGCCTCAACACAGCAGACCTGTCCCCTTCACTCCAACATAAAGACTCTTGTCTCGACTACCAGCAGAGCTCCAGTTGCTAACCTGAGTGGACAGACTCATACTTCGTCACTCTCCACATACACTATCATCAACAGTGGCAAAAGAATTTGGAGTTCAGAAACTCCAGTGGGCAAGCAAATCTAGGGCCCCCACCTTAAGGATCAGCACTTACTGTGTCATCTTCCAGTCTGAGCTGCAGGCTTTTATCCCCCTCTTTGTAGTCCTTGGTTAATTCACCCGAGCGCCACACTTCATCTGGGTCAGGGATCCAGACCCTTGTGTACTGAAAGATGAGAAGGAAAGAGACTTAGACCCTCTGTGAAGCATCCAATCCTATAAGCACATGCCACCATCTATGAAGAGTTTGTCGTGAAAATATTCTACAGCAACATCCACTTACCCTGCTCCCCCACTAAAGACACAAGATGACTTAATGTTATAAATAATAAATAATTCACAGGACTAATTTACAACAGCACCCTCTCAATCTTAAGAGAACTTGACAGTGATATTAAAATTCTTCCAGGAGACAGATGAACACAGGCTTAGATCTAACTATGGGGGTTTTACACTACCCTTTTAAAAGGAGACACAAAACAGAAGGATGGGGCATGCTATAGTTAACAAAATAATTCTGGCCAAACACAGGGAAGTAGAGCAAGACTTCACAGTATAGGTTATGCTGTTCTGATAGTCTACATTCAGCGGAATTGGCTGACAAGTCAAAGGCACTGTTAAATTGTATGAATCCAAAATGTCTCCTCATGCTCTAAATGATTTTGGGCCCTGGTGCTGCTAATCCAGGAAGCCCCGACCCTTTAGTAGGTTTGGCCTAGTCAAGAATGGGGGGTTATGATGGTTATACCTGCCTCCATCCCCTGCCCTGATCCAGCCACTGTCTTCTGGCTCTGTGGCCCACCATGATGTAAACAGCCTCAACCACACAGTTTCATTGACTATGGACATGGAAATCAATTGTTCAAGCTTCAGGAACCTACTTAGTTGGAATATATCAAATATATATTTGAAGGAGTGCTGGGACAACTCCTAAATATGGGGGGGCATTGATAATGGCTACTTAGTCCATGCAGGAGAAGGTAAATTGGGCTGTGAAAGAAGAACCAGGCAGCTACATTCTAATGTGGCTTTAGAAAGGCATTGCACATTCAGATCTTATTAGGCAAACTTCAAACCAAAATCCAGTCAACACTTGGCACCTAACCTGTGCCAGTCTGTGGCAATGCTGTCATGATTCTCTGCAGTCTCCCTCCAGTAATAACCTGTGTGACGTTCCTCTTCTCTTCTGAATGCAGGGTGGCTACATCTGCAGGCTGGCTTCCCTGTGCCTCCCATCTCTTACATCTATCCTCTGTGGGCTCTCTGCTTGAAGCTCCTACAAATTACTGAACAGGGTAGCTCATGCAGCGTCATAATCAGTGCACACAACGGGCAATTTACAGCATTTTAAAGAGTAATTTAATGATACACCAACTTTGAATTCTAGTTTTGCAAACACTGCCCCCACACACACTTGCCCACATGTAAAGTAAGGCATGGTCTCTGAAATATGCATAAAGTATCACCAGCACAAAATAAACAAGAAAGCAGACTGAAAAGGGAGAGACAAGTGCCATGGTAACTTGAGAAGGGAGGGTAGCCAGGTGTGATGGGGCTCTGGAGAGGAAAAGGATCGGAAGGAGACATCTCTGGGAGTGATGCAAACAAATGCTAGACAGAGTGCATGTGCTAAATATGACTTGAAATGGTTCCCTTTACATTCGGCTCATTTGCTCTCAATTAAAATGATGTGAGAATAAACCTTGAGTAACTGCAGCAACCAGGAAAGAAAATGGGCAGGGGGAGAGGGGAGTAGCAGGGTACAGGTGACTTGAAGAGGGAAAGGGGCAAAAGGGAGAGATAACTACTACTGTGATAATGTATTCAAAAGTTGTAAGGAAGCATACTATTATATCCCTGACTAAAATAGCATCGTATTTGTGATATATAACTTTTGGCAGGGAGATAACATATATACATATATATCTCTGTGTATACATACACATATACAATTGAAATGCAGTCTTCTCATGTGGGCTGACAATGCTTCCCCCAAGGGCCATAACTAACAAAAACCCCAAGCATGAGATCCCCCTTTTGATCTTGGGTGGGGCTGTCCAAGAGACTACCCTTTGTTGTCCCAGAGATGGAAGGTAACTCCTCCTTGCTGAAGACATCATGCACTTCAGATACAATACCCAGAGGACCAGAGCTGGGATTGGCCTCAAAGCCACCTCCCAGAGGACTAGCTTTCATGGTATCAGACAGAGCCATCCAACTTTCCAAAGGAAGAGAGAAGGGGTCTTCCCCCAGAGAAGAGCCCCACAGAGAAGAACTTATCTAATAGCAAGCAGTCAGCCTGGAGATTATATACATACAGGTAACATTATAGGCTGAGCAGGTTGTATTTGTGTACTAAGGAGTGTGTGTGTGTGTGTGTGTATGTATGTGTGTGTGTGTGTTTATATTCCAATAACTAAAGAGACCATGAATTTGAGAGAGAGCTGCTGGGTGTGTGTGTATCAGAAGGGTTAGAGAAATAAAGGGGAAGGGGAAAATCATGTAATTATAATTTTAAAAATTTATTAAAAACCAAACAGCAAACCTTCCCTAATGTCCACCACACTGTTTTACTGCAGAGGGTCCAAAACCATGATGTATGAAAACCTTCTCTTGTCATGTGTTCTTAACTACTAATCTGTAGGAAAACTGTAGCAATATATATGTTCAAGAAACTTATCTTCTTGTATTTGTGTGTATGTGTACCTGCCTGAGTTTATGTGCACCAGATGCCTGCACAGGAAGGAAGAGAGCATCAGCTCCCCTGGAACCAGAGTTAAGAGGTACCTGTGAGCCACCATGCAGGTGCTGGGGGTCAAATTTCAGTCCTACACAAAAGCAGTAAATACACTTAACCACTGATCCATCTTATGAGCTGGACAGAAACAGTTCTAAATTGAGTGTGTGTGTAAGGAACTGGGGGACCAAATCTAGTACCTGGCATATGTTAGGTCAGAGCTTTGCCACCGAGTTACCACCAGCCTTTTATTTTTCACACCTGTGAGAGTTCCTCTCAGATGCGACCTCTAGCAGCTTCACTGTATGTAAGACATCAACAATCTGAGGATGTTTGCTCTGTATTCTAATTAGAGTTACAGAATCTGTCACTACCATATTTTAGGCACACTTAGCTCCTTTATAAAAAGCCAGTGAACTATTCTTATATTCTTCTTCTTCTTATTATTATTATCATCATTACCAAGTAAGAGGTGATCTGGGGAGGAGCCCCATATATAAACTAGGGATGCCTGCATCAAACATTAAAGATCAGCACGGAGCTGCTCTCCAGGCCTTTGCTCCTTGCCTGTCTCCAGTGGCAGCTGAGCATTCAGCTAGAGGGCGGGTGCCTATGACAACAGTACTCTGTGCTCTGGCTGCACATTACAGTCACTTGGGGCTTATGAATTCCCAAGCCAGGCAACACCCTAGATTATCTCCATCAGCCTGGGGGGGGGGGAATCAGGCAGTGTGGAAGCTTCCCAGATGAATCCAATGCACAAGCACCTTGAGAACCAGCAACCTATGTGGTTTGTCTGAGAAACCTCTTTGGGTAAAGTGATCCCCATGGGTATAGAGGCATCCTTTTGCCAGCATTCTCAACTAAAATGCTGCAAGCAAATGCAAACACCATGTCTGCAATGCACACCATTTGTTCACATATGTATAGCTTTACATAGCATAGCACTGTGGTAGGTGTCTGGGCTCTTTAAGGCAGTTCAGTGGCCAAGCCATAACTGTCTTGAGTGGGCTGTTGTGTCTAGATGCCACTCTCCTCAGATGAACAACAGGGTGAAAACTGTATCTACCTCAAATAGTTACCAAGAATTACAGGGATATCAGAGAATGACAGGGGTGATACGAAGTACACTATGTTGTATGAAAAGCAGGATCCTGGTAGGATTCTAGATAGCAATACCAATTTAGACATAAGTCTGCTACCTCAATTATTTTAGTGTTCTTGGGTCTCTGCACTTAAGCAGTTAAACCTTGCCTTATGTGTGGTAACTGGATCTAGCCCCTTTCACTCCACAAACTGAGAGAGGTGACTCTTGGTGCTGGCTGATGGAAAAATATCTATCTGTAGATCTTTAAAACACAAGGACACTATACCTACATCCTGAATTTGAATAATTAACTCTCTAGGGGGCAGATCCAGAGCAGTACATTAGAACAAAACAAAACAAAAACTCCAACTTTCCAAATGATGAAATAATCACATAATCATAATCACTATGTCAGTGAGCCTCAGAGCAAAGAAGAAACATGCAGTAAGAGAACACAGGCACTTTCAGGATTCTCTTCCTGGCATTATTAGTGCTACCTCCATCACCTTAAGCTGAGGTAACTCACATCAAGTCCTTTGGTCATGTCAGCCTGGTCTCAAATCCAAGTCAAGGAGAGTGGCATTATAAACAGAAGAATCCAGTGGTTAGACACAGTAGACAATCTACCCAGGCTTCTGAGAGCTGAATGTGTAGGGGTTTTGCAGACCCAGAGTAAAGACCCCAGCTTCTGTCTCTAAGTCCTGATCTTCTTGGGGAGGAGCCCATATCCTTCTGGCAGGTATTTTATATTAATAAAGTGTCGCATATAACAGTGTCATATATGAAAACAAGTGTAAAGGCATAAAAAGGTAAGAACCCCAGGGAGTTTCTGTGTTATACACCAGATACACTGACAATTCAGGTACAATGATGCCTTGATCTAAGGCAAAACAGTTTGGATTATGCTCCCTAAAAAGAGCCAGAGATGGGCAAATGGCTTAGTTTGATGGCTGAAGGCATTCTCTGCCTGCTGACACCTATCTGTGTTTGGAGGCCAAGTGTTGAAAGGTCACCTGAACCCCATGTGTTTTGTACTATAACTAAATATCATGCAGAGTCACTTAGCCCAGGCTGTGGGTAGGGACTTCCTAACAGAATGGAACACACACACACAGTGAACAAACACTTGGCCAGGGACATACCTTTCTATTGCTGTGATCAAACACTATGATCAACAGCAGTTTGGGGGAGGAAAGGTTGATTCCATCTTACACTTCCAGATAGCACTCCAGCACTGAAGAAAATCGGAGCAGGCAGGGACCTAAAGTCAGGGACTGACACAGAGGCCTTGGAAGAGAGCTATTACTGGTTTGCTCCACCTATTTTTCTCCAGTGCCACACT